TCTCCCATTCTGTGCAGTGAAGCCAAAGGTTCTAAACTTCATACTATCTTATATTAGGAGGAAAATAAGGGGGCATCAGGGGGCTGTACAGAGTGCCAGCTTTCAGCAGCAGATCTCTGCTGTTCATGTCCTGAAACTTTCTGAATGCCTACTTTGTGCCAAGTTCTTAAATAGAACAGGGCCCTCTGCCCTTGAGTGCCGTCTTAGTCATTTAGTGCTGCTATAACAGAAATACCGCAAGTGGATGGTTTTAACGAAGAGAAGTTTATTTCCTCATAGTCAAAGTAGGCTAAAAGTCCAAATTCAGGGCGTCAGCTCCAGGGGAAGGCTTTCTCTCTCTGTTGGCCTCCTTCTCTTCAGTGTTCCCCCGGACTAGGAGCTTCTCTGCGCAGGGACCCGGGTCCAAAGGACGTGCTCTGCTCCCGGCACAGCTTTCTTGATGGTATGAGGTCCCCAACTCTGTGCTTGCTTCCCTTTCCTTTTATCTCTTGAGAGATAAAAGGTGGTGCAGGCCACACCCCAGGGAAACTGCCTTTACGTTGGATCAGGGATGTGACCTGGGTAAAGGTGGTGTTACAATCCCACCCTAATCTTCTTTAAATAAAATTACAGTCGCAAAATGTAGGCCAACCACACAATTCTGGGAATCATGGCCCAGCCAAATTGACAGACACATTTTTGGGGGGACATAATTCAAATCATGACAAGTGCCTTATCATAACCTCTCCCCTCCCCCCAAGAAAACCACATTGCTGTTGAGTCGTAGGGTCAGGGAAATATAGGGCAGATACCTAACTGCAGTGGTCTGAGAAACGCTGTAAGAGGGACTTGCACAAGACTTCCGGGGCATGATAGAGGTCAGGGAGGGCTCTTGGGGGTGTGGCATACACATACACATCCTCTTTGGTTTTTTACTTTTCGTTTTTGCATTTAGCACACACGGCGAATATTAATATATGTGAATTATAAATCCTTATGTTGCAGAATAATGTGTTAGTGGTATAACCAAAAAACCTGTTGCCGTCAAGTCGATTCCAACTCATTTTGACCCTATGGGACACAATAGAACTGCCCCATAGGGTTTCCAAGGCTGTAATTTTTATGGAAGCAGACTGGCCACATCTTTCTCCTGCAGAGCTGCTGGTGGGTTCAAACCGAGGACCTTTCGGTTAGCATCAGAGTGCTTTAACCACTGTGCTACCAGGGCTCCTTGTTAGTGGTACACCCACTGCTGTTGAGTCGATTCCGACTCATAGTGACCCTGTAGGACAGAGTAGAACTGTCCTGTAGGGCTTCCAAAGCTGTAAATCTTTCTCGCACGTGTTAGCAGTATAGGGAGGGTTATTTAAACCAAAATCTAGATGAAGGATATGATATGCTATAGAAACTAAAAGCCAGCATCACTTTCTAAGGATTCCAGGAAGGAAGAGTCCTTGATACACAACCCCAGGGCCTCCATTCCCATTGCATGTTGGCTGAACACACAGCATTGAGCACATCTTCATAGGCTACCCCATGAGCAGAGCACCTGGGAGCTGTGCAGCGGAGGTCTGTGGGTCTGCACATTCCTGCCACAGCCCCTTGCTGGTTGCTTCCTCCTGTGATGGAGACTTCCCTTTCCCTCACCCAGTTGCCATAAGAACATCAAGTGGGACTTCAGTGAGATTTAGCAGATGGAAGTCTGGAGGAGGAGGCTGCCAGGACTTTTGTGACTAGACCTTAGGGGAGCAGGTCAGGCTCGCACAGGTGTGGTGCCTGCAGCCCAGCTCCCGCTGCCCGAACCTTGAGATGGCCAAGGAGGTGCCAGCGTGGCTGGGTGCATCCTCGGGGAGGAGGGCCCTGGAGGCAGGTGGGAGAGGTGTGCCTGCTTTTCACTCTCTGAAGACACCTGGCCTCCTGGTGGGCCTCTCCCCACTGAAAGCACTGAACGAGGTGGTACACACCAAACTGCCAGTTATTTCCGTCTTTAGGAGCCTTTTTGGACTTCCCAGTTGTAGCTCTAACCTCTGTCTTAGTTATCTGGTGCTGCTGTAACAGAAGTACCACAAGTGAATGGTTTTGAAAAAGAGAAATTTATTGTCTCACAGTCTAGGAGGCTAGAAGTCCAAATTCAGGGCGCCAGCTCCAGGGAAAGGCTTTCTCTCTGTGTTGGCTCTAGGAGAAGGTCCTTGTCATCAATCTTCCCTGGTTAAGGAGCTTCTCAGCACAGGAACCTCGGGTCCAAAGGACGTGCTGTTTTCCTGGCTCTTGTTTCTTGGTGGTATGAGGTCCCCGTGTCTCTCCGCTTGCTTCTCTCTTTTATATCTCAAAAGAGATTGATTTAGGACACAACTTAATCTTGTAGATTGAGTCCTGCCTCTAATCCTGCCTCATTAACATCATAGAGGTAGGATTTACAGCACCTTGGAAAATCACATCAGATAACAAAATAGTAGACAATCACACAATAGTGGGAATCGTGGCCTAGCCAAGTTGACACATATTTTGGGGGGACACAATTCAATCCATGACAACCTCTCTTTGGAATTAGGGGAAATTCAAGCTACTGAGTATGTACATCACAGTTCCCTTTTTCCATTTCATTGAGCAGTGTTTGCCATGATTCTTGGCAGCCCTGCTTCACCATCCCAGCCAGTGCCCTGGGTCGAGTTCCTTCCCACACCAGGAGATCAGCAGGTTCGGGTGGGACCAAAGCTACTTCTGGCTTTTCTTGTGTGGACTCAACTCTGTGAAATGGTGCATGAGTGGGACATGCCAATTATGAGGGGTCCTGCCGAGCTTTAGATTAGACTGAAGACCAAGCCTTCACCGGGCTTGTTGAACACCATTGCCTCTCTCCATTTGTAGTGGGTTTTCTGTGAATGTTCCAGAACACACGAGCAGACCTGCAGACCCACTATTGCCAGTTGGCCCTGACTGAGCATGGCTGGAAGATGCAAAGAAAGTAGAGGGAGGTGTGTCTGCACACCTTCAGCATTGACCACCCAAACCCAAAAATGACTGGTACATATGCAAATGAACAAAAGGATAGCAGCACACCCACAGACCTACCCACTAAGAAGCAGTGTAGCTTGAGTTAAGGGGTCTTGCCTAAACCTGATACCCATGTGACAGTGAGCTTGGAGAATAGCCAGTGCCAGCTTACGAGCCAGACTTGGAAAGTGGAACCTTGGGCAGTTCTGTGGTTATGGATGCAGTGGGTAGGGAAAGGAATACTGACCTGTGGGTCAGGTTCACTTCCACTCTGTGGGGTGCATGCCACTCCACCACTGACGTTCAGTGACCGCATCTCTAAAATACAATTGTTCTTAAAAAATAGAAGAAGAGATGGACCCGTAGGACACCACCAGGGGGAAGAGTGGATTTCTAGAATGATGGGACTGGCAGTGTGATAATGAATGAGACTTCTCTCCTACTTAATCAGATGCATTGCCTTCTTTCTGCCTTGCCTGAATGTGTCATCAGCTTCAGTGAGGCTGAAGAATCAGATTCAGACAGAATTGTCAAGGAAATACAGTCTGCTTCTAAGAGGCCCACCCGTGTGTTTCCTCAGTTTTCCTTGACTGAGATTTGTTGCAGCAGTTTTTGTGTCTTGTAGACAGAAACCACCATTGGTCTGTATTCCCCAGCTTTTCTCACTGCGTGGCCTTCCCCCGAAGGACGTAACCTAAATAGGTAGCACCGGTTTACCTGTGACATTGACATGTAAGTGATTATGAAGATGACAGAAACAGCCCTTTAAGCCTTTGGCTGTTGGGGGCAGGGAAGCATTCGGGATGTGTGAGGCATGCTTTCCTTCCCCTCGTCCTCCTCAAATCTGGTGGATGCACTCTTGGAAGCCGCATTGAGAAGCGGTGCTGTCTGAAGCTGACCACCGACTCCTCTTTGCTGGTGGGAGGCTAGTGGGAAGGTCCAGGATTGTTAGTCAGGTTTGGAAAGCAGTCCCTCTTCCCAGCTGCCTTCTTTCCATCGCAAGCAAGCCAGAAAAAACTCTATGTGTCTGTCCGCTGTCTGTGACTATAGGGTTAGCAATCTCAGAGGATCCTTCTGTGGTATAAGCTACAGAATCCACAAGGTATTGTTCAGGCATTGTGCTGGGCACCAGTACTGCTGGGATGAGTCAGACACGAGTCTGTCCTCAGGGAGCTCACAGTCCAGGGCTCGGGGAAGATGGGTGTGACTAGTATAGGGTAGAAGATGAGGAAAGGACTTCAGAGCACCAAGGACGGCAGTTCGTTGTCTCCTGGGGACTCAGGAAGCTTTCCAAGGAGGTGGCATTTGACCTGGTCCTTAAAAGATGAGGAGCGTTTTGCCAGGAGGAGAAGTGGATGAGTGGACTTACAGCAGGCAGAGGAATGATCATGAGCCAAGGCATAGAGGTGTGAAAACAGTGGGCACAGAATGGACGGTGTGGCCACGCCCTCCTTCCTGCTGCCTCTTTCTTTTAGAGCCAGAGTCTCCTGTGGTGGTTCTCAACTTTGGCTGCACTTAGAATCAATCACCTGGGGAGCTAGATTTAAAAATGCAGAGAGAAATGCCTGGCCCGCATTCCCAGAGAGTCTCTAGAATTGTCTAGAGCTGAGCACCTGCCTGGTTCTCTTGGGCAGCCAGAGCTGAGAACAGCTGGTTAAGTGCATTGATTACTGTTTGTATATATGGGTCTGACACCCTACCTGGAGTCTGAAATCACGGTGCCAGAACCCAGTGTAATGCCTGACACATTATAAGATTCGAATAGAAGCCGATTCTTTTGGATAGCGTTTTTTGAGGGGAAACTTTACATACGCGTTTGTTAGATGTTTCTGCTGCCTTCTCACTGTTGGGGCATAATCTCGAAGGACAAAGTGTGAGATGTAGATCAGGATCGTTTGAGTCAGGATCAGTGCTCCTTTGGATATCAAGTTTGAGATCAATCCGTCCCCCTGGAATTTTAAGAAACCCCGTTTTCTGGTAATGGTGTGGTTTTTTTTCAGGAGGCCTCACTTTCTGTTTCCTTCTAGGTGTATGGATCCGGATCTCAGACGAGGGCATTCCAGTACGTGAGGTAAGACATGTTTGTTCTGTCTGTATGGCATGAAGCGCACCCTGGCGGGATGTTAGCTTAGCCTGAGCAATGATTTGGACACAGAAGCATGTCAACTTAACAGTCCAATGTCTGTTTTATCAGTTAATTAGCTATTTTTGAGAGAGACCCTAGTAATTTGGTTTGGTTGAAAGTTAATTTTAGTCTTAAGATGGAAAAGCTCTTGCAGTTCTGTGTAACTGAAAATTTGCATTCATATCTGTATACTAAAGCTTGCTTTGTTGTAGCAGTCCGCGGTCCAGCGTCCAGTGACTCAGTCTTAGCTTTTACTGCCACCTAGTGTTTATTAGGTGAATATGCTCAGCTCTGAGGGTGACGAGTGATTTCAGTACAAGCAGACTTGAGAGATGACCTTAATTATCCAACTAACCTACAAATCAGGAAATCCGACCCATTTTAAATATGGCTTTCAGGGGTGGATGAGATTGCCCTCATTAAGGATATGCGATAAGATAGAATGTTCGAAGTTGTCGAACTTTGTGCTGAAACTAAATGCAGATAAAAATATATTTGAAGAATTTTTTTTTAAAGTTCGGTGATTTTTGTTTTCTTGCAAATACTTGTAACTCTAATATTTTGCTGGTCAATTCAGTTGGAAACTAATTTTAAAATGCAGTTTGGGTCCTGAGAGATGTAGCATATAAACAGTTGTGTATGCCAAAGTTGGCACAGTGGTTAAGAGCTTGGCTGCTAACCAAAAGGTCAGCCGTTCGAATCCACCAGCTGCTCTTGGAAACCCTATAGGGCAATTCTCCTCTGTTGGATAGAGTCGCTATGAGTTGGAATTGACTCTGTGGCAGTGGGTTCGGTGGTTTGTTTTTTTTTTTTTTGGTATACCAAAGTACTTTCCAGTATTACCGGTTATTATAAATTCTGTGAATGTTTTTGGTACCCTAAATCGTTGTAAAATTCAGTTCTGTATTTTGGCACCATATGTTTTCACTCTTTAATGCAAATACCCTGGAATTCCTGTTAATTGGGAAATGCTGTTCTTGATGTCTCTGGGACATCCCGGGAGCCCGGTAGGGGTGAGGTGGTGAGTAGGGGGTACAGGTCTGGGAAGACCCCTCACTCTCTTTTCTCCCTTCAGCCAGAGCAACCATATATACGTTCATCTGATTGTGTGAGGGTTCTGGGTGGAAGTCCCTTTAAGAAATGGAACAACTAGTAAAAAAAATAATAATAATAATAATAACTAAATACAACTACTGTTGATTTTTGCTGAAAGTGTTCTTGAACTTCACTTTTAGTCCAAAAGAAAGGTGTGAAACACATATAATGGTCAGTGGTTTTTCCTCCCATCCGTCAGTATCATGATGCAAGGAAAAAGCCCTGAAGTATAACTAGCCCACTTTGTTGCCCAAATAGGTAGAACAACATTCTCAGGACCATTTAACCAGGGCATGACAACTGGCCTTCCTCTAGGATTGTTTTATTTCTATCAGACCTGACTTTTACGTTAAAGCACTTAATACAGGCACCACGGGCTCTAAGAAAGCTATGATTATTGTGGCGCATTTCTGTACTAAACCCGTTGCCGTGGAGTCGATTCTGACTCATAGCGACCCTATAGGACAGAGTAGAACTGCTCCATAGGGTTTCCAAGGAGTGGCTGGTGGATTTGAACTGCCAACCATTTTGGTTCCCAGCTGTAGCACGCCATGGCTCTTAACCACTGTGCCATCAGGGCCCCATGTGGCGCAGTGGTTAAGAGCTTGGCTGCTAACCAGAAGGTAGGCAGTTCCAATCTATCAGCTGCTCCTCGGAAACCCAATGGGGCAGTTTTACTCTGTCCTGTGGAGTTGCTGTGAGTTGGAATCCACTTGATGGCAACTGGTTTTTATTTCTGTACTGAGACCATATTAATAGGACGTCTGTGTTTTGAGTTCCATCTTTTCATAATAATATGCATTCATCCACCCTACTTCACCCACCCGAAATCCATGTACTTTTTTTGAAGCAGTTTTGCAGATTTCAGTTACGTTGAGTGGACTTGAACTACCTTATCAATGCCCCCTCCCAAAAAATTTCTCTGGTTTTAATACCACCAACATACTAATGAGAATTTTTGCAATAAAAGGGAAGCTAATTTGCACCAGTTCTTATTCTTATTTCAAAGACATCAAATACAAATTTTTTTTTTTTTTTTTTAATAGCTTCAGAGATGTTTTTGTGCTGGTGCTTAAAATATTTTCAGGCTTCAGCAATACATTTGTCAAGTGCTCTCCCAGCTCAGACAAAACGTGTCCTTGGTGCCAGGCTTGCTTTAGTGGGTACAGTTCACGGGCACAGGTACCGTCACACACAAAAACCAGCCACCTGGAAAGAGAGCTTATGTAGTTACCCTGGAAATGTTGTCGATAATCCTCTTCCACAACCCTTTCTTCATAAATACTACAACGTTATTTACTGTCCCACGCTGATTGTATTCTCAGGTGTCCTGTGAGTGGAATCTCAGATAACGAGGCTTCAATATCTTACCAAACTCAGGGCATGGATTTTCCCCGCGTATGGCTCTGGTTGGTCAGGAGTTAACTGAGACAATTAACTTACCGACGTTTTGCTGTTGTTAATAGCCCTATTTTTTTTAGAAACTGACACTTTTTAACTTCACAGTGAAAATGCACAAACATGTCTGAATCTGTAGTTGCCAACTACGAAATGAACAGTTTCCAAACTCCATGCTTGCCTTCCTATGGCATTTCCGGGTTTCTGAGGTCTCAGTGATCATACGCATTGACATTTTGGCATGGCGCTCTTTGATATTTACACGATCAGATTGTGCCCTCATTCACATAACAAAGGCGTGCTGTGTTTTTTGAAAAAGTCACTTTGTCAAAATGACACTTTTCCAGAGCTTCAGGTTAAATGAGCGTGATCTACACAATTTTGACCTTAAAAGTTGCCAGTTGATTATAGAAAAGATGCTTGGCCTGCCCGCTCTCTCCTGCCCCAGTGCAAATGACTGCATAAGAATGCGTCGTTTTCCAGTGTAACATTGAATCCCCCTAGTTTCAATATTAAAAAATGTGAAGAATGCTACTGAATGGCAGCTTTTAATGTCTTTCTATGAATAATGCAGACACATGCCATAGAAGATGCATTGTGACATAGTGATCACTGCCATAGTGATGAAGTGACTTTTTGCCAGTTTCTAGAAAAGAGAAACCATCAGAGGCCAGCAGATATGTGCGTTTGTGCTTGATTTGTGAGAACACTGTGAGTGTGTTTATGTAAAGGACCCATTTGTTATCAATGACAAGGCAAAAACAGTTTACTAAATACCCCTCCAAAAGTTTTTTTTTTTTTTTTAATTAGGATGAAAGCAAAAGCCACCTCAGGTTGTCTTTTGGAAGTTGATTATAACCCATAATAACCTGCTCCTCTTTTTAATGATGGCTGGAGGAGGAGGGAGACATTTTAAAACATATTTCATTTGGATCACCACGACAGGAATTTAAAAGCCTTTTCAGAAATAGAGCTGATTAAAATAGAGAAAGCATTTGTGTGTAACAGTGAGGTGTCATTTTTACGAAGTAACTTTTTTTTAACAGAGCCACAATTTAAAGCTTCTGAAAATAAGCACCAAACCTTGGTAAGCGAACATTTGCTTACTTCTCTTCATCCTCATGGCCAAGTCGGTCACACCCCATCTGAAACATCCAGATATCCCTGACCGTTTCATGGGAGGAGTTTTGGGGGTGGGGGTGTGAATTGAAGGCTGGGGGAGAGGGAGCAATGCTCTGTTTATTTCAACAATCAGTGTTGTTTGGCTTTGTTTGTGGTTTGCCAGTTTGGGGGTCACATACTGAAGTTCTTTCATCTCAGTGGACCTTATTATTTTTTAATCATCTGCTTTCAAGTGGGCCAGGTACCCAGCTTCACGTTAAACATGGACTTTCATCAGACACTTGTATAAACTCCCATCTTTTTTCTCTGTATGCATATGTTCATTTATTTTTAGATCTTAATTGTTAAGATATCTCAGAAATATACAGAAGTTGAGAAATCAAACCCCATCACTCACCTCCAGTCTTGTTTCATCTACGCCCTCACCCACTGAAAGCAAATCCCAGGCATCATATCATTTCATCCATAAGTTATATAAGCACCCTCTTAACCTGTAGGATTTGGTGTTGACATTCAGTTGTCAGTTTGGGGTTTCCTTTATGTTTTACTGTGGGAGAGCGGATAACTTCCTTGGGGCTTGCGTGTGGTGCTCAGCGCGAGTGTGTGTTCCGCAGACAGCGCTTGAGCTGGTCTTTTTCTTCTTTTCCAGTGATCTCGTGAACGGGCTTGTGGCTCTGATGAACAGCAACGTCAGCAGCCCTGTCAACCTGGTGAGTACTTACTTACCTCCTGCCCCTCTCTCCAGAACATCTGAGCGTTTGATCCTTTTGTGAAACCATGGTGACCATCAGCCTTTTCCTTATCAGCCATCGGCACTGTTAGCACATGCGTATTTGTTATTGGCAGAATACTAGAGAAAACAAAAACAAAGAGTGTACAAAAAAATAAAATGTCTGCAAGACGTTAGTGAGAGGCATCATCAGCGCTAAGCTAACTCCCTCCACCTGAAGGGTCTGAACGCTCGTAAAGCCCATCAGTGTAGCAGGTGGACAGTGTTTGCGTGCATTCCTTTCTCCTGACACTATTTAATGTGCAGGCAAGCTTTATAAGACGTGAGTAAATGAGTTTTTAGAAGGTGGACATGGTTAAGAGAGAACATTTTCCCGTTACTAATTGCATCTGTAATTCAGCTGTACAGATGACCTTCTTTCGGCTTCATTGCTCTCTATAGTCATGGAACCTCCACGTCGAAAGAGTATTAAAGTTGTTTTGCCGAGTCTCTCATCCAGCCTTGAACACTTCCAGTGCTGGTGGACTTGCTTCTCCTCAGAGCACTTGATTCCATCTTTGGTCAGTTCTGACAGACAGACAGTTCTTCCTTATGGTGAACTCAAGTCTTACTCTCTGCACAGTGTCCTCATCGGCCTTATTTCTCCGTCTGGGGGGCCACTGGGAACTAGTCTGATGCTTCTGTGATGCAATAGCTTTCCAAGAATTTGAAGAGTGCAGTGATATCCCCCACGTCTTCTCTCTTGAGCTCCTTTAGCCAGGGATCATGTCATGTTGGGATTCCCTTGCCCTCCCGGCGATTGTCTTCGGAGTAGTTTTATTCTGTTTTAAAATACGAGGTGTCCCGTGTGTACTGTTCACTATACTAGATACTCTACTTCTGTCGATGGCAACCAGCACAAGAGCCCGTTAGCTCTGTAGGGAGCCTCCTTCCCACTCACTGCCTGACCTTAAGGTATCTGGTGACTGAGCCTTAAAGTCCATTTCAGAAGCTTCTCCTCAACCACCTTTACTGTTTCTGATGTTTTAAGCTTCCCAGGTTCACAGGTGCGGCCTTGCCTGCTTATTTCTTGCTAATGACCTCAGTCAAAAGCCTTTATGTGTACTATTCTTTGCGACCAGTAGTCTTAAGCACATTCGATACCATTTCTTTGTTGGTGGGAAATTGTTACCTAGTAGGAAGTGGAGGATCCCGGAGTAGTCGCTCCCTCATGGGAGCGTGCACAGGTTCGTGGCAGCCCAGTGCTGCTGTGACGGACTTTTGAACACAACTTGTTTTGAGGTGTACGTTTAAAAACCAAACAGAGCTTGTCTTCCAAGTCTCACGTCATGTTGAGCATTTGCCCACCTGATGCTTTTTAGACGTCCATGCCATCCTTACCCTTGTGTTTTTGCTGCATGCCCTCTAAAATGTGCACGTTCACGTGATCTCCCTAAGCAGCCACACTATTTTATTTCGATACCACGTTTCTTCTTTTCTTATTTTGGGTGGGGTCTTAGCCCAGGGACACAAGAGGGCTCCCATCTCTCTCAGAAACCTATCTCCCCTAAGGTCTGAAGCTTGTGTCTGTCTGCCAGGAGCTCTGATAAAGACGGGGCCACTTTTCCCAAAATTCCTATTCCCTCCACTTTGCTAGTAATTCTTCGAGTTCATAGATAGGCCCAGGTTATCAGGTCCTTCATGCCTCTCTTACCTTCTAGCTTTGGGTAAACTAGGAAACTGGGAGTAGAGAGTGTTTGAGTTCTTAGAGTATATAATACATATTATTGTATAAAATAAACACACACACGTATGTATGTAATTGTCAGACCACACTTTATGATGGATGGAGGTACAAATTAGAGAAACAGGGCTGGGAAGGGGAGGGGGCAGTGGCTTCTCTAATGTGTAATGGAGGAAAGAAAAGGAGGAAATGTTTTTCTTTAAAGCTCACCCCAGCCCCCACCAAACTTATTGTTAGTTGCCATAGACTCGGCTCTGATTCATGGCCAGGGCTGATTATCCAGTAAGCAAGGTTCACCTGGGCTTCCTTGGGCTTTTTTACCAATCCGGAGTACACACTCTCACCTGTTTTTCACCACATCTTTGATCTGGTGAAACCCATCTGAAGTTGTGCACTATAGATTAGTAAGTAAGCACAAGGAAGCCTGTGCATCCCTTGCTTGCTGGTTGATCCCCGCCGTTCATGGCAACCTTACGTATAACAGAACAAAACGTTGCCAGGTCTTGTACCGTCTTCATGGTCTTTGGTATGTTTGAGTCTGTTGTTGCAGCTGTTACGTTGGTCTGTCTCATTGCGGGTTCCCTCACCCTCGCTGGCCCTCCCCTTTACCAAACTTGATGTTCTTCTCCAGTAATTGGTCCCTCCTGATAACACGTCCAAAGTAAGTGAGGCAAAGTCTTAGACAATATCTAGTGATCCATAGAGTTTTCATTGGCTAATTTTCAGAAGATCACCAGGCCTTTCTTCCTAGTCTGTCTTAGTCTGGAAGCTCCACTGAAACCTGTCCACCATGGGTGACCCTGCCGGTATTTGAAATAATGGTGGCGTAGCTTCCAGCATCACAGCAACATGTAAGCCACCACAGTATGACAAACTGCTGAGTGGTGGCCCAATGAAAGTCAGCTCGCTTTATAAAATGCACCAAGGGTGCCCCTCCAGCTTACCCAGAACACTTCTTGTTAGTGCATTTTGTTTCTGCTGTGGCTTTCGTGTGCAAGTTTTGGAAGTTTGCATTAACATGAATTGTTAACACAGTACGTGGAGAAGGAAACACATTTCTTAGGAGGGTGAAATTTGCATACTCAAACCTTTATGCCAGGTGCCACTGAAGTCAGAGTTAATTAGACATGGAAATTGTCCTGATAATTAAATGAGTGAATGTATGTTCTCATAAGACATTAGCTTATCAGAAAATGACAATTAGTCTAAAGGTCAAAGGTAAAGATAGGAACATTTGGCACTTTGCCAGGTTGAATAAACATCATCTTGAAGAGTTTAGAGCACAGTGAAGCTTGAAGCGCAAATGAAGTTACGTAGGCAGGCAGGAGAGTCTGGTGATTTTTTAAGATGTCAGAGTCAGCCCACAGACATCTTTGAAGACATGAATGTGGTGGTGGTTGTTTTAATTACATGTATAACCAGAAATCTTTCTTCCTTAGGGGAATCCAGAAGAACATACGATACTAGAATTTGCTCAGTTAATTAAAAACCTTGTTGGTAAGTAGGATCAATCACTTCATGAGTGAAACCCAGCATGCACTTACCCTATCAGTTGATAACACCTTGACTAGAAAAGGTGTAATTAATACAAGCTAATTGAATTGGAGAAAAGCAGAACTGTTCATCAGGAACACTTAATTGTTTTCTGATTCTTTAGTTAAGGAATGGAAAGATAATGACAACGGGGTTGGTTTTTGTTCACGACTGTAATCGCAGGCCTATGAGAGCAGCAAGAGTAGATTTGTTCCTTGTGTTTGAGGTGTGGCTGGGTTAGATCATTCTGCATGGGTGAAAATGATTTGATTTCCAAACACTGCCTTGTTTGCTTGGTGTGTGACTGCTGAGCATAGACTGTCAGAGAGCAAGAGAGAGTGACACCACCTTGCTCCCCAGAGTGAGGCCCACAGACCAGCAGCATCACCTGGGAGCAGCTTAGAGAGGCAGGATCCCGGGCCCCACCCCACCCCAGGCCTACGGAATCAGAATCTGCATTTTGTCCAAATCCTCAGGTGGTCCGTGTGCACATTAATATTTGAGGATACTAATCGAAAACAGAAGGGGAACACAGGATAACCACCATGCGTCTGTTTATTGCTGCACAGCAAACCGTCCCAGACCACAGTGGCTTAAAGCAAAATCATTTTATTTGCTCAGGATTCTGTGATCAGGGCTGGCTGCCTCAGCTGGGGGTTTCTTCTGCAGGTCTTGCCGATGGTCACTGGTGTGGATTCATTCAAGTGGCAGGCCAGCCAGGGTCTGGGCTCAGCTAGGATGCTGGATAAGTAGGCATCTCTCCCTTTGTCCAGGTGGTTCTCCAGCAGGGTAGCTGGATATCTGACATGATGATGACTCAGATTGCAGGAGTGGCCAGATCTTACCAGGTGTAGGTCAGGACTGGCACAGGGTCGTTTCCACTGCATTCTGTTGGTTAAACAAGTTAAAGATCAGCCCAGATTCCTGGGGAGGGGACTCCACAAGAGCAGGGAACACCAGGAGGTGTGGTTATTGGGGGCTGTCAATATCATAGATGACCACACACCACATTTACCATCTCATGTACTTTGGAATTGTCTCCAGTAGGCACTTGTGCATTTGTTAGCTGATTGTAGATGTTCCTCCCTTTGAGGCAGTGATGTGGGACAGGTCCTCTCATTTTACTGAAAGATAAACTCAGGCCTCTAGAGGCAGACTAGATGCCCCACCCCCACCCCCAACTCAGCAAGCTCTCCTGGAGCTAGACATCAGCCTGGGTCACCTGCACCCCAGTGAGACTCAGCTGTGGTCATTACAGACGGGCTCCCTGGTCTTCTAAGGAGAGCAGTCCCTTACGTGGTTAAGTGGCTTTAACAGAGACATACGTATGTAATCTACACCCTCAGTTCT